GTACACATGGAGTCATCACTGAATTAGAAAGGTCAATGAGAGCTCCTGATTCGTGTGCATTGATGTTTAATTTTTAGTGCACATCTCCCCTCCTCTCCTCACTTCCTGCTGAACTCCTCTTCCCTCTTTTTCTTTCCATATAAAAATCTGCTGGGTCATTTGTCCCTCTTGCCACACAGACACTCAAGGCCAGGTCTGGTTTTGGTCCACCTCCCTCTGTCTCCCCTTCGCATGTACATGAGGATGTTTACAGGAAACCGACAGTGTTTTGCCCCATTAAACACACTTCATAAATTAACTCACTTAGGGATCGGGCTGACCTCGCACAGTCCTATTAGGCTGAATCTGTTCCATGTAGACCTGATGGAAAGAACACACACATCATCTGGATCATCTGCACTGGGATTCTAAACTCTTTTTATTGATTTTACACCAGTATTATGGATACTAAGCAATAACATATCTGAGATGTTGAGAAAATGAACCAAACCAATTTACTCATACCCTGATTTTGCATATCCACACACCCCTCCCACCCATCCTGCTGGTTACAGATTTCAACAGAATTAATTCAAATTAGAATTTTAAAAAAAGGGGAATTAGATTTGTATAGTGTACCCTGAAAATAACCGCACACAGTTTTATCTGTGTTGTACAGATGCAGACAAAAACCAGGAAGTGGTGTCAAATATTTATGAGGTTTGACCAGTAATGTAAAGGCTCTCAGGTAAAGGTTGTACAAGTGAGGCTTCTGAAGTTAAAGGCAACCAGATTAGCTGTTTTACATTTACCGCTAGTAGTATCTCACCATGTGCATAGTTTTGATTTTATCTGCAGAGATATAAAATATGTTTCTTAGAGATTTCTGCCACCATTTTTTGTTTCATTCATGCTGCTAAAAACATTAAAGGTATACTATACAGAAATTGTTGGCTACTGTTTGTACACAGTGGAACAGTAGTGCAGTGGTTAGCATTGTTGCCTCACCAGGAACCAAAAGGGTTCCTCGTTCGAACCCTGGGGTGTGGAAGCCCTTCTGTGCAGAGTCTGCGTGTTCTCCCTGTGTCAGCGTGGGTTTTCTCCGGGCACTCCAGCTTCCTTTTTAGTGACTCTAAATTGCCCGTAAGTGTGAATGTGAGTGTGAATGGTTGTCTGTCTCAGTGATAGTCTGGCGACCTGTCCAGGGTGTACCCCACCTCTCGCCCAATGTCAGCTGGGATCCAGCCACCCCCCCCCCCACCCCACCCCACCCCCCGATCCCATAGCCAGATATACTCAAAAGGAAAATGAACACAAATGCATGAAATGTAAGAGAAATTAGTTCCGTTGTTATGCTGTAAGCTTCAAAAAAATCTATCTCTCTATGTCTAATCTTCTCCATTTGGAGATGGTACAAGACTTTCATTATCCAATGACTAAATGTTGGTGCAATATGGTCTTTTCATTCAAATAATATCAGTCGTCTGGCCAGAAGAGAACAGAAGGCCAACGTGCTGATGTCCTTGCTGTTGACAAGGGCGTCTCCCGAAGCCACATCAAACAGTGCAGTTAATTGAGAAGGCTCAAATGTTTTTCCAGATATTTTAATGAAGGTCTCAGAGATGGTTTGCCAAAATGTGAAAAGCCTTGGACATGTCCAAAACATGTGCACCAGCATGTGGAGCCTGCCTGCATCCATCACATGTGGGATCTAATGTCAACTTTAATCTTAGAAAGTCTGTCTGAAGTCCAGTGCAGACAGTGCACAATTTGGAATTGAAAACAGCATGTTTAAGACATATTGAGAAGATTCTCTGTGTTATTCTGCGGCAAATTGATTCATCCTAGTCTGTTTCCCGTCTATTTTTAAGGAGTGGTCGCTCCCTTTTCATAATGTGCCGACCTCACCTGTGTGCTGTGCCACGGAACGTCCCAGACACAGTAAGATAAAAAGAAAAGAGAAAAAAAGAAGAAAGTACAGGCAGAGGGCAGGGTCTCTGCAGATAAATACACTGCCACATACTTCTAGTGGATGATCGATGATCGGTCATCTACCAGTCAGATGGTTGGTGGTTCGATATACCTCTACTGGTGTAGTCTTCATGTCGAAATGTCCTTGTTCTTGACTCTGAAATCCAAATTGCTCCTGATGGCTGTACCATTGGTGTGTGATTGTGTGTGAATGACCAGGTGGCACCTTGTATGGTGGCGTCGGTCACCAGTGTATGACTGTGTGTGTGAATAAATGGGTGAATGGTGCTTGTGTTGTAAAGCACTTTGAGTAGTTGCTAAGACTAGGAAAGCACCACATAAATGCAGTCCATTTACCATTCATAAGTTATGATTAAGAGGGATTACGTTTGTATGAGTCTATGCATAGTTTTTTAGGGAAATCCTGCAAATTATACCTTTAAAAAATCCTCTACCTTCACAGGAACATTAAAACAAGTCTGGTTACTCTCATAAAATTAACATAACAGTTTTCACTCGAATGTTTTTCTTGGACACTTATCTTAAAAAGTGGTCATTCATAACAGTAAAGCTGAGCACTATCAGAGTTAAGTAAGAAAATGTGTCATTTGGGTGAACTGACCCTTTTAAGAAATTTGCCACCCCTCTAAGAGGCCTCATCGATCATACAGTATGTATGTAGAATGACTCACTTCTGAATCATGTTATGAATACTAAATTTTGCGGTACACGCTTGCTCGTGTGTGTGTGAGTGGGCCTCAGAGTAAAGAAATAAACACCGAAGTGTGTGTGTGCACATACACACGTATGTTGGACCAAATGTTAAGGGGGCCACAGGATGGGGAGTAAATTTAAGAAATCCTGAGTCAGAATGGTTGGAGCCATTCTTTTCTGCTGCATCACGCTCTTCCAGGAATACTATCCCCCTCCTCACCCCCACACTCATTAAGGAGTTGGACCTGGTCAGAGGTATTTCATCACTTTAATGAGGGTACGTGTTCGTTCTTTCTCGTGGTACGCACATCTCTCTTCAAGTTATAGTATTTGCTGCTTAACTGCCTTTTAATAGTACGGCACTTATTACACATGTAGTGGAATTTAGTTTGGGCATCTAAACTCACCAAACACACCCATTCAGTCTGTCCAAGTCCAAGCCAGAGAGGACATTCAGTGTGGTGAACACAAGTCAAGAGCAAGACTGCCCCCTTCAGTCTGTATCAGAGCATCCTTTTCACCAGACAGAGCCTCTCTGCACTTAATGCTCACAGATGGCCAGCGACACGCGTCCCACATTCCCAGCCCCCCCCCCCCCCCCCCCCTTCCATAGTAGAGTAGTTACTCAACAAGGTTCCTGGCTGGTTATGGAGCCTGTCTCACACCCTGCCAGTATAAACCTCACCCCTCACCCTTTGGCCCAGCTCGAACCCCCGCCTTCGTCTGACCAAATGGCCCAGGGATAGCGCCAGGGGAGTGGGCCTGCAGGCGGGGGGGTGGGAGGTGGGGGGGCTGGATGGGCAAAGAGCCAAATTAGAACCATATTTTATCTGCTTTCTACTGAGGTGCTCCATCTTCCAAGAACACACACAAGGATGCACGGGGTTGTGTGCAAACATATACAGATGCATGTGTACACACTCTCAAACACACGCACGCATGACTGCTCACATATGGCCTGGTCAAGTCACAGTGTTGGTATTTCAACCATGACGAGTATGCGGGACTTCATGGTTTGCGTAATCGTAGCAGTTCTAATCAAGTGCATGGGAGGTGTTTTTCTGAATGATTTAGAGAAGTGTTTTCCAGCAATGACACCATGTCAGCTCTTGACCAATAGATCCAACGCACTACTTCCTATCCATGTCTTAATCACAACTTAAGCAAACCAAGATATTGTTGTTAAGTACCTCATTTATTTTCTTTTTCCTTGTCATTTTTTTTTTCATACTGTATGAGTTTGTATATTAGACTCTTGTCCAAGGCTGAGTCGTGTTCGCCGGTCTTTGTGTCTGGTTCTAGTGTGAAGATGGCGGGTGTCCCAGTGTGAGCCCCTCTCCTCCCCATCTAGCCCCAGCCCAATGTCTGGAACAGATTACATCTGATATTAAACACATGGCAGTTAGAAAGGAGAAAAGGCGAGAGAAGAAAAAAAGTAAAAGAGAAAAAAAAGAAAGAAAGAAAAAGAAAAACAGAGTGGATTTGTCAACGAGCTCCCTCCTACCTTCCCTCTCTCTGTCCTTAGCCCCTTTTTCTCTCTTTGTCTCATTCTCCTTTTAGTGTCTGGTCACTCCTGAGAGTACGGAGAAGATCATGTCCGCTTGTCAGTTGTGCTGTCAAAGGCACAGACAGAGATGTACGCTTTTGATGCCCTTTTATTCAGCCAGCAAAGTGTCAGTGCCTTGCACAGGGCAAGAATTCTAAAAGGAGAAGCCAATTGTGTTTGCAGCTTGAACTCAGATACAGAGCCCATTTTATCAGGATAAAGTGTCACTCTCTGGAAAGCTAAAGATGATGTAGCTGCTCAGCGACACTCTTTGTTTCTTTCATGGCAAGACTTGAAGCTGTTTCCACTGCTTGTGGCAGATGGAAGTAGTCTCACACACATGCCTCGTCCTCAGTCTCCCATTAGAGACGTGGATCACTGTGTTTCATAACCTAGCGGATAATGAGACGAGGGACTGAGATGGTATCAAGAGGAGCCTCGGTCTCCAGGCTCTGCTGCTTTGCCACTGATGTAAGAACGGCACAGCACAGACATTTAAGGTGGATTGAGAACATTCCTGATGTTCCCTTTGCTAATTTCAGCTTTTTCCTGTGAGGGGTCCCACAGGGGAGTCACCACTCCCCGACCAGCAGGCTCTCCATCACCCAGACGAGAGCCCAATCACGTCCGTGTTGTCCCTTTTGTGTTAATACCCGAGTCCCGGTTGCTCTAAACAAACAACAGCAACAGTTGCTCAGCTTGTTTGTGCTGAAAATCACTGTTCATGTCTACCACAGTGTTTTTTTCCTGCTCGTGAATAAATGAAGTGTCTGATTGTTTTTCCTACCAGGTCTCCTGCAGCACAGTCACTATGGGAGGCCATGCTGATCAGTAAACACAAAGAGGGGGTGATGGAGGTCCGTCGGCAAATAGTGGAAGCAGCCAGCAAGGAGAAGCTGCCAATCAAGATGAGCATGGGTAAGATGGATCAAAGTAAACATTTTGTTTTCCTGATAAAACAAAACCCAAAATACAAAAAATAGCTAATAAACATGAGCATCCACATCAAATAAAAACACCTTGAGTCACAAATAATTTTCTTAGAGAGAAGTGTGTGTAGTGTCTTGTAGCAGAACCATAGCGCCCCCTACTGAGATCCAGCTTCTCTGCCTTGCAGTGTATTTGCCCATGTGGCCACAGAGGAAATCTGAACCACATGTTGGCTCTATGACATACACTCACACACACACACACACACACACACACACACACACACACATGCTCCCTTGCACACACACTACTTTTGAAAACTTTTGTTGTTTGGTAATGAAGCAAAGGGGGCTGAAGCAAGGGGTAAAAATATGTGCAGGCACGCAAAAATAAAGTCATTACATGCACAAGTATACAGTACCCTCGTGCACGTTCATCTTTATGCTGCCCTCTGACTCACATAGCTAATGGATGTACTACACTCACACAAACACACACACACACACAAACACACACACACACAGGGCTAATATGCAGGTTAGCATCTGGCAAAACAGGAGGGGGTTAAAAGGGAGGGGCATTGTGGTCCCTCAGCGCCTATAATCTTTGAGGTAAAGAAGGTCTCGTCTCTCGTAATGAGCAGGTTGTAATATGTTGGAGGTCACACATGCATATGCACACACACTCTGCCAAGCATCTGCGTACACGCGTTGGTTTCCTTTCACACATTTGTGCTAAACAGCACTCTCTCTATAAATCTGCTAGGTTGTGGATTTATTTAGACAAATGCACACCGAGCAGAGATAGAGCTGCAGAATTAGAAGGAACAGAGAGATCAGGAGTGACAGTGAAAGCAAGAAAGTTTGAAGAAGGTGGAGCATTAAAGCTGCTCCTGCCTGCTGACTGACAGTCTGTTGACTTAATGTCTTTCCTGAGAGAGAGAATAAGAGACAAGCGGGGAGAGAAGGGGGCACTGTCAGGGTCCTCGCAAACTGAACCTTTATAACCCCACTGGCACAGGACCAGACTCAGTGAAGCCCCCCTGAGCTCCCAGCGCACCCCCCACACAGTTCCCATCCTGCCCACCAGCACCACCGGCTGGGTTCTCAATCCATCATGCTCCGCTCATATGAGACCGAGCTAAAGCCAGTAACACAAAACGCTTAGCATTAATACCTATCTGCTCTGTCGGTGCCCACTCACTCTCTAGGAGAGAAGAATTTTCCACTGCATTCTCACTCTTGCGGGTTTATGCAGATCAGTGGAGAAAATACTGTATCAGGATAGTGCAGGCCCGCGTTCTCACATACACACTGACTGAACTTGGCTTCTTTTCATCTCAACAGGATAAGATCATCCAGAGAGAGACAGAGAAAATAATCCATTTCTCAGAGCCTGAGTATGACCCGTCAGGTTTCTCATAGCACAATAGGATGATGAAATTCCCTCGCTGTGTGTGTGTGTGTGTGTGTGTGTGTGTGTGTGTGTGTGTGTGTGTGTGTGTGTGTATGTGGTTATGTTATGCGGTTGCGTCCAGCGAGTCCAGTGTTTATCTTGGGTGTTTTTGCTCTTAGCGGGGAATTAGTTAGACAGCTTTGGTTTCATTGTGCGTAAAAGTGCGTTTATCTGTTCATCTGCGTGTGTGTATGCACGCAAATGTGTGCGTCACAGGGTTATACGGTTTGTGTATGTTTTGCACGCACCGATACTGCAGTGTAAATGAGATGTGTTGACAGGGCCTTTCTTCCTGTGGTGCACACTGCTCTTTTAACAGCAGAGATGAACGAGCCTCGAGCAGACAATTTATTGTATTCATCATTTCAAGCAGTGAGATTTTGGTGGAGTGTAATATCACAATAGTTTCAAATAAGTATTCATGTTTCACAGTGTCATCTCTCCTTTTTTAAATCATAATTTAAATGACAATCACAATGGGTTTTGTTAAATGGCAGAAAGGCTTTGCACTTCATCTAGCTCCATTTTGATAACGAATATAACTCTAATTTGGGGTGTAAAAGACGTTACCTCAACTTTGTGCAGGCATATGAAAGACAATGTCATCATAGAACACAACGTATGGACATTTATTTCAGCAGAAAAACAAAATATATAACCAATATTCAAGCAGAAAAAATGTTGCCATAGTACATTTCTGCAAACCACGGAGATGTTACATTTAGATGTTATTTATTATGTAGTGGATACATTGAAACTTGAAATTGAAATTTTACATTTTAGCAAAGCTGTGGTTAATGTGAAGTTAGGTTTAGGCACAAAACCGGAAAAAATATATGGCTGAAATTACCCAGTACTGGGGGCTCAGTCCCAGCAGGAACATAAGTGTTACTCTACGTTCAAACCACAAGCTTCCAAAGAGGCAAAGTCTGTCGCGGACGCCCAAGAAGCACGACTGTCAAAAATATTTGTGGCAGCTTTGGTCACTCTAGTCGCTCATCACGTGAATCATTGAATGTTCGATCGTGCTCGTCAATTTAAAGGAGCTGCAAAGCGAACTACTGGCTTGAAAGCAGCGTAGTTGCTGCTTGCTGTTGTCCAGTCAAAAAGCTCGTAGTTGGCCTACACAAAGTTATGTTTGGTCAGTGAAAACAGAAAACGTATGTCATCCCACTCAAACCAAGCAAGGAAGACTTGCATGCTACGTCACAACATTAGCCTGCAATTCTCTCCTCTATTACAAACATTACACACTTTACTCACCACACCAACCGACTACCTCTGCGACGCGGTCCCAAGCCTCATTCTCCTTATTTTGGTCTCTGTAACCGAACAGCTACACATTATAAAAGGACTGAGTGGGCGCGAACGAAAGTAATAAACTTTTCGACATCCATTGTCGGAACAAGTGTGCTGTAGGAACCAAAGTTACATGGCTTGTTCTCTGGGACCTGCTTCATCGAAGCACGTCAGCATTCCAGGCAGGAAACGCAGCGTTGTTTCTGTGAAAGACAACTGCTTTTTGTGCCACTATCACACCAAAAAAACAGCAATGGGTCGCTACAAAACACATGTTTCGTGTTTAAAAAGCTACTGGAAACACAGCAGTGATTCACTTTATCACAACCCTGTTTTTGTTGCTCTCAAACATTGGTCTGCAGTGGTCTGCAGCTTGGTTGGCAGCTGTTTCGCCTAGGTGACACGCCATCCACCATCCCCTCAACCTCCCAAAGTCAGCTCATATACTTCTTCATTCGAATCACGTCGTGCAGTTGTACCATATATGTGGTTTGCAGAAACATACAATGCCAACATTTCATCCTGGCAACTGGGCTGAAATATTTAGAGTAATCAGTCAACCGACAATGACAGTATTATCAAATGTGTTTTAGTTGGATCATGTCATTCCAAAACCTCTCACACACATTGCTAAACTCAAGTCTTTGTTACTGTTTTTAAGCATATAAAACAAAACAAAAAAAACAAAACAGTATGAATACAAGAACAGGACCGTAATAAAATCTGATTTTATTTATGATAATCAAAAGTTAGTCCAGTGATGGGAGACAAAGTACTGTTTTGAATTGTGTCACCATCACATACTGTACAGATGATGTATATTTTTTCAAACCGATATTTCAATCCTCAAATCATTCACTTACATTTTTAACTGAAGAGGAACCTCAGATAAAAACGCCTCTACGACACTTAAGAGGAGTAATGTGATGGTGTAGCTTGTGCTCTCCTGTTCTTTACAGTAGAGTCTTAAAAGGGGCCCCAACATGCATCCACAAATAAAAGCACCAGGGCTTTCCTCATCTTAGAGCGCATAAATAAAAGTCTCTTAGCCTTCCTGTGTCCTCTATCCACGTAGAGTTACTTATGAGGCTGTCCAGCTGCTGAGGTCGGCCACCACTCAGCTCCAAACTGACATCACTTAGCCTGTGAGTAACCCTGTGCACCTAGAATGCAAGTCATCTTCCAGTAACATGACTAAATCATTGTTGGCCCCTGCACTTCTTTGCATTGTTCGGGACTTTGATCATGGCTGAGCATCAATTGCCACTTCTGCACATCAGGCTAAAATGGGCAGCAGCTCAAACTGTTTATAGCAGAGGGCTGAAAATGTGATTTGTTTTATGGCGGGTGCTGCAATGAATGCACCCTGAAGAACATTAAAATGGCTTAAAGGTTCAAGTTTCTACTGCTCTAGGTGCTGTGCAAGAAGCAGCACAGTATGTTGTATAAAAGCTTTGGGTTTATTGCGCTGGTGAACAAAACAGACATGATAATCATTTAGATAACTCCATATTGCATGTGTACATTATCTAACCAACTGAACACTACGTACGACACATCATACTGACCAAAGTTTAAAGGGACAGTTCACAGTTCAAAATCAAAAATACATATTTATTTACTCTTACCTGTAGAGCTATTTATCAGTGTAGATTGTTTTGGTGTGAGTTGCTGAGTGTTGGAGATATCAGCCATAGAGATGTCTGCCTTCTCTTCAGTATAATGGAACTAGATGGCACTCAGCTTGTGGTGCTCAAAGTTACAAAAAATTACAATTGTAAAACTCACCAGCAATGTCTCTTTACAGAAATCATGACCCATTACTTAAAGCCGCTACGAGGAACTTTTAACTGGATATGCAAAAGTCTCTTGTTTCTGCTGATGTCTGTGCGTGACCTACAACAGCAAATGAGACCATCGGTGTGAAGATAAGCTATTTCTATATAGTGTATATCCATACCTTTATGAAACTGTGTCCGGGTCCGCACCAGGTCGCTACCAGGACGAAGCGATTTACGGCACTCAGACGGCACACGTCATCTTACCTAGCTGCTTACATTTATAGTGACTCTTATAAATAGTCGCTATTCCTCCTCCTCGACCCGACGTCCGCGGGGAGTTAAAATAGCAGCAATCATCGGGTAAAAGTTCTGTGAAAGCACTGGACTCACCAACAGTCAGCCACGTCTCAGTCACACAGAGAAAATCCAATCCTCGGGAAGTCAGGAAATCCTTCAGGATAAACGTTTTGTTCGCTAGCGATCTAGCATTTACCAGCCCAATCCTGGCAGGAGCTGGCGGGTCCACAACGTTAGCTGTCCGGGGAGCCACACACAGAGGATGCAGGTTGCGCAGATTCATGAGGGGACGAGGAGAGCAGGGGCCGCGGGGCTGGAACACCTCATCCGGGCCGACGACAGGTACCAGCCAGGCGTCAACAGGGTCCAGCGAGTGCCGAGAAATAAAGAGGCGAGGCACCGCTCCATACTCAGTCCAAGAAGCCGTGGAAATGCTCGCTAAACAGGCCTTCAGCCTTACCAGCCGACTGCTGCGTTTACCCCGGCAGCGGTGGCACTTACGCTGGAGAGGTGGAGCTGGGGCGCAGCAGAGGTGAGCTGGGCTCCCCGATAGGAGCGGGGACAAAGTTTTCCCGTCTTGTTGTTTCATTCATCCCCAAAACAAAAACATGCGCGAGCCAGGTAAGCGTCTTTACAACAATACGCGTTAGAGCTCATGGGAAATGTAGGCTTCATTCCGGCAAAACACTACCGCATTTGTCCACAGGGTCGCCAAAATCAACTCAAAATGAAAGTTCCTTGTAGGGGCTTTAAGATAACCCACAGACCTTGTTTTGAGCAGTTTCATTTAGGAGCTATTTTCTTTCTACTGAACTACAACCATCAACCTTATCACTGTGCAGAAGGAAGCGTGCATCTACTTTTTACACTGCTATGCTAAACCTGGCTTTGGAAACCTCATCAACTGAGGCTAGCAAGCCCCTAACTTAGTGCCCTTTCCCTGCGTGTTAAATTAGACGTAAGAAAAGTGCCTGGACTTCCCTGGGTGAGTGGTGGTGAACATATCCTGCCATGTCACCGCCAGACCAACGCAACCAGCCCACTCGGACTGGACAACTCCGCTGGACACCCTTCAGGTGCTGTTCCGTTGGACCAGTCAGTAGAGCTTAGATTCTCTGCCTGAGCCCGAACCCGACCCGACCCGTGAGTTGTCGACGGTGACAGCGTGTGTCTCAGCTTCGTCAAGTGTACCAAGTGCAGCACAATGCTGGTATATGACAGCAAAAAGACAGGGACCTCAACACTTAAGAGGCACATGACGAAGGCTTGCCATGGAAAGAAACGCGAGAGTCAGCCTTCAATTGTCGGGTTTAAACTGGGTTTGGGCTCATAAGTACAGTTAAAGGGATGGGTCGGGCCGGGACGGGCTCGGACAGAACATGCACGGGCTCGGGTGGGGTCGGGCTGGATTTTTTGGGCCTGATCTAAGCTCTACCAGTCGGCCAGCTTGCTCTTCTTCCTGGTTGTTCAGAGTGAATGTGTATTTACATGGATCATTTTATGGTGGCATGTCAAACACTTTCTCAGCCTCTTTTGTCTTCAGAATGTCTTGCCTTTGGCGTCTCCCTCATGCCGTGCCCGCTCAGCTTGAAGGCCTCTCCAGCTCTCCCTCCAGGTGCAGCTAATAACAGCTAATGCGTCATCACCACCAACCCCCAAGTGTGACGTCAGTGCTGACCCTGTCTACTACCACCTGGCTAAACCACACCCACAAGACATTCATTAAACCACCAATAAAGCTATCATAACACAACTGCTGGCTCACCTAGCACCACTGAGCGAGGTACCGTTACACTTCAGCGGAGGAGGACGCCCTTAATGTTTACATCTCACGCTGTCACAAGCCTCCTATCTGTGAGTCGATGCACACTTCCTTCTGTGCGGTGATACAGTTGTCAGAAAATAGTTCTTACATGAATCTGCTCACAACAAGGTCTGTGGATTATCTTGAGTAACCATGTCATGATTTCAAAGGCTTTTTTTTGCACCACAAGCTAAGTGCCATCTCTTTCTATTATATTGGAGAGAAGGCAGACGTCTCTACGGCTGATATCTGCAACACTTGGCAACTCACACCAAAAACAGTCTAGACTGATGAAAAGCATTAAAGGTGAGAGGGAAATAATGTGTTTTCTGTTTTAGGGTAAACTGTCCCTTTAAACTTTCACTGTCATATTAAAAACTTGTTTGTTTTCGGACACCAGAAATTAATAGTGTATATTTCAATGCGCTAAAATTAGCTGAAAAACACCAATAGTCATACAGTGTTTAATATGCCTTATGAAGACTGTTGTTTATCAGACGATACAGCTGACATAGAAAAATCAATTCAAGGCACAAGTGCAGTGTCTTCTTACATCAACATGTCTTATTTATTAGAGGCAGAAAATTAGAGCCTTTCCAGTTCTGCTATTCCTGCAGAAATACCCCAGTTTGAGACCATCGCTCAGCTGACAGATCATCTCCCTGAGATTCGTTTTGCATCTGGCAACAAGATGCCTGAGGAATCACAGAGCAGTTTTGAGGGAAGTTTAGTGACATAGATAAGAGCTAAGGAGGCTCAGCCAGGGCTGTTTGATTGTGTAATGGAGACCAGGCTTTTGTGTGGCCTTCTCATCTTAAGTTCTTTTTTTTGGGGTGTTTTTTTCCCAATGTCTTACATTTTCTCACTCTCGCTCTCACATGATCTCCCCGAGCTGTAAAGTCTGATTATATTTGGCCTGTAGTATGCCATTCTTTGGTCGCCCATTCTCGGGCGAAATTATGCTTGGCCCTCGCTTTGGACATGTTTCCTGGTTCTGTGCTGAATTATGGTTGGCACATCAAGCTTAGCGAACCTTGGTTATGCTGCCAGGATTTTATGGCTGGATATGTTCACAATAGAGCTTTTCAAGATTTTGAATACGTCTGGACTGAAGCTCATTCTTCAAAAAAAAATACTTTTATTTCAGCAAGAAAGTTAATACCCTTTTGTAGACATCATACAGTCAAGTGCCGCACAACATACTGACGCTTTCACTTCGGCTTGGAAAACACGTCTCCCAATAGGCGAGCTTGCAGAAATTTATTTTGCTGTCAGGTTTACTTATCAGCTGCCCTGAAAATGAGTTTTTGTTCGTAGCTTCCCTGGATGATTACCTCTAAATTTCTGTCTGAAAACATTCCACATCCATAGACTTTGTCATCCAGTCAAACAAAGTTTTGTAAAAAAGGTGTTGTCTTTACATTTTTTACGTGACATGGCTCCCTATTGTGTCCAGTATTCTGGAGATTTCTGCTCCATTTTTCATCCCGGCTGTCTGTTTCTCTTCGAGTCATGTGTTTGGCCCCGCTAAAGAAAACATTGGCCATGTAGTCCAACAGGAAATACTCCCACATCTGGTGCTGGTTCAGAACATCAACATGAAGAAGTAGGCTTTATGGGGAGTTAATGTGTGCCCCCTCTCTATCCCAGCCCCTCGTACCTCCAGGCCACTCTGCGCACCCCCTCTTTTTAGCACCCTTTACCTCCTCTTCCTGTGTCTCTGTGAATCTTCGTGGGAGTGGCGGCAGAAGCAGAGGGTCCTGTGAGGAGTCCAGTCTCTCTCTCTGCTGCCTCTATAAATGTTCAAAGACAACCTCTGATTTACACTTATTAGTCACACACAAAATGGGCACTCAGGACCTCTTATCGGTCTTCCTGCACCTCTGCTATATGTGGACGTGCTGGAGCACACAGACATACGCAGTGATGTTTTGTCAGAGACTGTGACTCATGTAAACTTCTCACTGACAGCAACTCTCCACCTGAAGCTTACATACAGAGAGAATATTGCTTCCTGTCTGGCACAGCCACACACACACACACACACACACACACACACATACACACACTTCTTCGCGGCTCTTGCTTTCTCCCAGCCTGTGGCATTTTTGCTCATTAAGATAATATTATGGTCTGTCCTGGTATCAGTCATTCCCCTCTGCCCTAAGCTGAGTGTATGATAGTTATTAAAAAGGCTGTTATGCTGGGAAAAGGTTGTCTATTTATTCTGTTTCGCTCTTCCCATCAGGAGGAATAACTGTGTGTGTGAGTGTGTGTCTGTGTGTGTGTGTGTGTCCTGTGCAACCTTGTACAATTATTTATAACAGATGGCACACAAAAGACCATCAGGCCAACAGTCAGACTACAGTTGTGAATTCTATGAACTTTATGATGAATAGTTTTGATTGATGAATTTGTGATGGCTCCCCTCATACTAACAGATTCTTGCCTCCTCTCAGGCCGTGTGACCCCCGAGCAGCTGTGCTCCTACATGCAGCTGTTCCGGAGCAGTTGGGGGGCGCTAGAGAGTCACTGCGGGGTGCTCCAGCTGGGCCTGGCCACGGCCCAGGTGCTCCGCCATCCCGGCCTGCCCCGCTGGGACGCCTGCCTGGCCTTCGAGAGGCTGCTGCTACAGGTCCGTACTCATCTTACACAAACCTATTGTCCATATGCGTTTTTTGCGATGAAAGCTCCTTTCAAAATAGGATTATATTCACCACAGATGTTAGCAGTTCTCCTTTTTAATATCAAGGAATCAAATAATGTAAAGAACGCACACACACGCGCATTTCTAAATTCTTTCCTAAACATTGGGCCTCGTGTAGGAAGCGACATTCAAAACAAATGTTCTTTGTAACCACAATTTTGTTCTTATTTTGATGGCACCCACTGATTTCAGGGATTCAGGAATGTTTTCTTATGTTTGCTCTTCTCTTAGGTCAGGCAAAATTTTTCGAGTGGTCAAGAGCACTCTTGCCAAGATAAGAGAAAAACATCTTGTTTTCACAGTGAGACAAATTGTTTGTCCAACGTGAGGAAACATCAGTTTCAAAACACTAAAAATTGCATGAACACTTTACAAATTAAGATTTTTGAGCAGAGACCACATAAAAATATGGAAGTGCAGCTGAAACAATTTGTTGATTAGAAAATTAATTGGCAACTATTTTGATAATTGTTGTAGTCATTTTTCCTGCAAAAGCATTTCAGCTTTTCAGATATTCAGACCTAATGCTTTCTTTTCTAATTGTTTTAATAATTTTTGTTTATGAAATTGAACAAAGGCTACGAGCTGGTTCAGGCACTCAACTCAAGCTGCGGTTTATTTAAGCTGCAAAACCTTCCCAGCTCTTCCTTTGCCTCGTCTATGCCACTGCTGCTCCCGTGTACTGCTGCTCGCTTTTTCAGCCCCACCTCCACCCCAGCATCCACCTGCAGGCTCTGGCTAAGAGGGGAAATATTTAATCATCACTCCCCAATTTCTAATGTAAACATATCTGCGGGGAGCGATGAGGCCGGAGTCTAGACACCAAGGACTCTAATTATGTTCCGATGTTGAAATAAATATTTAAAATGTGCACAGAGTACTTTTACTTGTAATTCTGAAAGGTCCAGTGTGTAGGATTTAGAAGCATCTATTGGTGAGTTTGCTGAACTGAACCTTCTTCCATGTTCCAAGTGTGTAGGAGAACTACAATAGCCAATGCGAAAAAAAGCAAGTGGGCCAATCTGGAGCCAGTGTTTGGTTTGTCCGTTGTGCGCTACTGTAGAACATGGTGGACTCTGTGGAGGAGGATGTAGATATAAACGGCTCATTCAAAGGTTACGAAAACGCTATGATCAGATCCTTTACTTAAATAAAAGTACTAATACCACACTGTAAAAATGCTCTGTGGTATTAGTACTTTTACTTAAGTAAAGGATCTGAACACTTCACCACCACTGCTGCTGACATGGCAGTTACAACATCACAAATGTTTTGCCATTGCTGGGTTTTTGATTTTCCTGTAACACCAGCGCTGACACTAGAAAATCACGTTTACATTGTTTAAGTTTACTTAACAGCATGTCGATTCCACTACAGCAAAACTACTTCTTCTTACAGCCTTTTTTGAGCATGTTCCAGATTATTTTTTGCCCATGGCACACCACCCGCCCTAGTGTTTAGGGGTTACTCATGATGAAGAGGGATTTTCGACACACCTGAGTAAGAGCAGATTTGGATGGTTAAGAATGTTTGGTGCATCTGGAGTTGACTTCAGAAAATTAAGAGAAAAATATAAGAGAAATTTTAGAAGATGTTGCTGCATGAGGCCCAATGCTACACTGACAGCATTAAGCAGAAAAACAGCACGTTCACTGGCAATTTGTAATTAACCCAGTGATTATTCTTTCACATCTTCCCCTTCGGGTAAATATTTTATTACCGATGCTCAGCAGGTAAGTGGGTGCTTGCGGTTCACTAGATGGCGGCCAGAATGTTGTGTTAAACTGACAGAGGGGGGAAAAAACGCAGATTCCTCTCCTTCATAAACAAGGTCAGTTGTGTTTGTAAGGAAAACATTCAGATCCAGTAAACACTGCAAAAAACTCAGATTTTCCATCATGTTGTTTAGGGGCTTTTTAGTTGAGAGATGGAAGAGGTCTAGTTTACGGGGGCGGACGGGGTGGATGTACACGTGTGTTTGACTGTGGAAAGGTCAGAGGGCAAGTCTGATGGAGAGACAGAGGGGAGAGTGTAAGAATAAATAAAAAACAGAGCAGCCAGTCATCACATCAGCTCTTTTAGCAGTGATTAACTGATTTTAGGGAGTTTCACACACACAGAGCACCGAGCTGCATAATGCCATACTCTGCACCGTGAGCTAAAGAATGCTAAAGCCACCTTCTCCTTTTCTTACCTTGCTTTTTTCACAGAGTCGCTTTATGTTCCTGAAGCTGTAAAGCAAGCAGGGGGACAGCAGAGTATTTAGGAACTTATTAAACGAAATCACGGAAAAATAAAACAAGCTCGCAGCAGTGCCCCATGCCAAATTGGAATTTGAAAACAACCTCATAAACCTTGGTCCTCAGCTGGGGCCATCGTTGGTTTATTAAATAAAGGAAGAAGACTTTAGGGCTTATAGTTCCAGTATCCATTTACTTCATGACTCCGCTTTGATCGACTCCCCCATGGTTGTCTGCTGTACCTGGATAATTTAAAGTACAACTTTCTCACCACTCTTTTGTAGTTGTAGTCTCCTAACTACAGGGTTTGTAGGTGACTGTGTCTTCAGGTGGAACTGGGTCTCGTTAAACTCACGATGACTATGTTAATAACAGACTGCTGTTGTATTTAGCATCAGGATGATATATATAGCACCTGGCGTGGGTTCAAAATGACATTCTTCATGAATCAAATCTCATAATCGAGCCTTGAGCGCGATGCGAGAGTTGGTGTTTGCAATCAAAACGGGCCTGAGTTTTATTGAGGTATTAAGGGAAATGAGTTGTGTGTCCTCTGTGCCCTGTCTGTTTATTTAATTTCCATGTGAGGTTTTTTTTTCCTCTTCTTTTTGGCTCAACATGGACAGAGAGAAGTTAATTACATTACAAAATGGCGGGATGAAATGCCTTTCGGCTCTGCCCTGGTGGTTGGGCTGTGTTTGCTCTGCCTGAGTGTGTGAGGGCTGCTGTGGATACGACTGGGCAGAGCTGGACGCTTCGTCGCTGGTGGACAGTGTGAGTTTATTCAGGCCTCTGTGGTGCACTCGAGTGGGTAGTAGCCATACTGAGGCAAAGGGCCATTGGGTTCAGGGCCTAGTTTATGCCTTTCCAAACAATTACGCACACAGTTTGTCGGTATAAAATGCTGTGTAATAGCTACTTTGTGACCTAGACAACTTTTTTGCTCATGAGGTAATGCTGAAATATGCTGTAATACATAAAAAGGTCTTCGGAAATGAAGTGTGCTTTTGCAGATTTTTTTAATGGTAGCCTTTACTTGAAAGGCAATACCTGTGAGGGTTTTGCAGCTGGGAGGTTAATAGGATCGAGGCTCAGATGTGGTTTTATTAGTTGGACATTAATTTAAATGTGGTTAGTGTGATACTCACAGTTTAGACTGCCTTTACAGAGACTGCTGGATTTATTACCTCCTCAATATAGCACTGATATTTGTGGGAGATGGCTAGATATCTTCTTGGCTGGCACTGCCACCCTGCCCGCACCTACACCCCCCCACTGCCCCGGGCCCTGGCTGTCTGGCATGTAACCGGGTTACTGTCTGAATGGGTCAGATTGAGCGGGTTTGGTCCAGTTCCAGCCCGCAGTTGCAGAATGTGTGCTAGACGTGTTCAGTGCTGGACACGGGTGGTGCAGCCAAGGCAAAAACTTAACAGACTCACTCTTTCACCACTTCCCAGAACATCACAGGCATACAACCTTCCCATCAGCGGCCCAGCCAGAGGCTCTACCTCACCAAACTAAACATGTACACTACTACTGTACATCCCTCTCAGAGAGAGCTGACAAGTTGCAGCTGCATTTTTATGCGTGTGTGTGTGTGTGTGTGTGTGTGTGTGTATTAACAGATTTTTAAGGCTAGTATTGTCTTTGGGTGTGCTGTGCACGCCTACTGTTCATTAAGCTGTCACATCACTGAACATGGTAGTGATGACAGCAGTGCAGTAGAGAGGAGCTAACCTCTCTCACCCCGGCCTGTTGCTTTACTCTGCTGGGATTACTGGGGCAGGGCTCTGCAAACATTCAAGCTCCGAGTTATTACTGGTCACAGCACAGCCGTATGTCCCCACTCTCCCATGAGTCACTAAAGCTGCCGGCCTCGTCCTCATCTCCGTCTCTGCTGTGTGTTTGTGTTCAAGTCTGAAAAACGGTGTATGTAAGTTAAAAACAATCTATGAACACAAACCTAATCCCCTTAACATTAATTTACAGAAGTGGAAAAATGCCTCATATACACAATGAAAACTGTTCATTTGTCCTCAGTATTAACTTCACACAAGATAAAAATCCAAATGAGTTGTTCTGAAATTGTCATCCTCTACCAGGATATGAAAAAAATACTCTAGCAACTAATCTTTACAGAGGTCTTTACAGGTCCACTTGTAACTGAGTCACCTACACTGAGATGGCTCGTATCACAATTACAAATGAGGCTGGTTTAGGTTCCATTATCCTTTCCCTCCATGGTTTCACAGGGTTTTTGGGGTAACATTAAATGCCTGATTTCATGACAGCTTTGCATTTCTAAAAATCATGATGTGATGTTTTTAGCCATTTCAGAAAAGCCAGAAAAAAGGCATTTAAACAGCCATAAGGGCAGCAGAGTATCCAAGCTTAAGGTCTTTCGCAGATTATTCCATGTGTAAGGAGCACTGTAAAAGAATAAATGAACCAATGATGAGCCAATATTGATATACCTGCAATAAGCTAATAGGAGCCAATATATTTTAGCCTCACTGATTTATCAGTCTAGCTCTTGTAATGTGTAGTCGAGTGGAATATCAGCTCTCTTGTGTTGTTTACATGCAATCAACACATAAAAGAAAGGTGTTTTTTGACACGATGAAGAATGAGAACTGTCAAACTCAGGTAATGTGTAATGTGTACATCTATTTTCAACTGTAGCTGCTC